GGGTCATCCCCGTCCTGCTTGCCCGGCTTCTCTCTGCATGGGCCTGGGGCTCTGAGCTCTGGCTGCCCCTCCCTGCTGGGGCACTGCAGGGTGGCCACATCCCAGACCCCACCACCCACTCCACACCCCTCGCGGCTCCCACCGCATGCTTGGTCACAGACATCTCGTGGCACTGTGTCTACTCCACTCCCCAGGGTCGGAGCCCAGAGAGCCTGAAGCTGGACTACCGCACGCTGGCTGCCACGCCTGGCACTGGCAGTGTGCAGAGGGTCAGTGTCCCTGAGTCGCACCCTGGCCTGGCCTCTGTCCACCTGTCCCATCCCTGCGTTAGCTCCCTCCCTTCACCTGAGACCCCCACAGGACAGAGCTTCTGGGCGGGCCCCACTGTGGAGGGTCCTCATCTGGGGTAGGGGTCAGGGTGGGGACTGGAGGAGGCTGAGTCAGGGCCTGCAGGGGTGGGCTGGCCAGGGGTTCCCAAGCTGGAACTCCATCTGCCAGCTTGGCATATCTATTGTCCCCCTTAACCCACGTCGTGAGGCAGGGGTAGAGGACGTGAGGCACAGAGCAAGCGGGCTGGCTGGCTCCTGTGAAGGCCCTTGGCCCCGGCCCCCTCCCATCCCTTGCCCTTGGACTCACTGAGCGGGCTGGGTGTGGGGGAGCCCAAGCCCAGCACACTGCAGGCAGAGGGAGCTAGATGGCCCCAGAGGGCTGGGGGCCGGGGCAGAGGCAGGTGGAGGCCACCAGGGCCATTAGGGGCTCCTGGTGGGATTGGGCACGAGCCGCCCTGGGCGGACAGGCTGGAGCAGCTGCAAGGAGCCTGGGATACCAGGGTTGGGGCATGAGGCCCAATACAGATAGCTGGGCTGGGGGGCGGACACTGGGCAGGATGGACACTCAGTCGTCATCCCTCCCCTAAGAGATATAAATAACCCTCCCAGCGGGTGAGCCCAGCCAGCTGCCAGTAGGAGACCCCGCAGGAACGCGAGCGGCCGAGGGCTGGGCTCCAGGAGGTGCTGAGACTTCCAAGCAGTGGGGAGGTTGTGCTGCGTGAGGGCCTTGGAAGAGCAGGAGGCGGTGAGGGGCCGGAAGGGGCGTGGGGGCTGAGGGAGCCGACTCGGGGGGTTTGGTGTAGACCCTACCCCCGTTGGCCATGAACAGTTGAGAGCAGGAAACCTGCAGGAGGGGTGCGGGTCCAGTGTTCTCTGACCAAAAAGGGGCACAGCTGTGGGGTGGCTAGCAGGAGTTGGGGCCCCCCTGGTTCGTGCACCTTTGAGGTGCATGGGGAGAGTGGCCGGGGGCTGCCTGTGGCTCAGCCAGCCCTGCTCTGGGGAAAGTCTGCTCGCCCAGCTGCTCCCTGGCGTCTTGGCAGCAGGCGGTGGGTGGGGGCATCAGTTCAGAGCACCGAGAACTCCCCATCACTGTCTCTGTCCCTGGGCCTCCCCCCGCCCAGCTCTCACTCTCTCCTGTCTCATCTTGGTCTGTCTGTCTGTCTCCATCTCTCCCTCTAAGCTCCAGACTGCCCCCACGGCAGCCGCCCACTGCTATGGACAGACACCTGGCTGCTCAGCCCAGGCTGGGGGGGAGAGCACAGGCTGAAGGCCAGGCCCACACCCCAGGCCTCCCTCCTGTCCTCCCAGCATTGTGGGGGGCGGGGGAGAGCCTGGTGGACTCCAGGCCACGGCCCTTTTGGGGAGAACCCCTTCCTGCTGGCTGAGCAGTCATCCAGGCCCATCTGGGGACATCCCCTGGGCTGTGGTCAGGTCGGGGAGCTGAGGACCAGCCTCTGTGCCGCCAAGGCAAGCACCCCGTCCCCCACCTCCTCCTCCTTGTGGGGCCCCAGCACTGCCCGACCTCACCCTACCCAACGCCCCTCCTCCAGGTACCGTCTGGGGCAACTGGAGGGAAGATGGCCGAGGCTCCCCGCTCCCCTGGCCGCCAGCAGGTGAGCGCCCACTGGGTGGGGGTGGAGAACAGTGCAGAGGGGTGCCAGTGAGCAGTGTCCGCTCCTCCAGGGAGCTGGTGCCAGGAAATAGCACCTCCCCGCAGCTGCCACCCACTGCTCAGTGAGGGCACAGCCTGTGGGCACCTTTCTGGCCAGAGGTGACTGGCAGTGGGGGTGGGGAGCTCCTTGTGGTTCCCCTGGGCAGACGAGGCTGGGTGGTCAGGGCCACCTCACCTCTGCCCATCTCTTGTCTGCGAGTCCCTTGGGGCCGGCTCAGCGCAGCCCCCCACATCCTGTCTGCCGAGGTTCCCTGGTTCCGCTGCATGGGGAGGGTGAGGCCATGAGCACCTCCACTTGCTGCACTGCCACTGGGGGTAGGCACCCACAGTGCCCAGCTCCCAGCCCCTGCCCCTTCTGGGCAGACGGGTGAGTGTCGGCCCACGCTCTGGGCACCCATCCCGGCCACCCATCTTCGCTCCTTCTCTCTCTCTTTCCCCCGATCCCCTTACCTGAACCACTGACCCTTCCCTCTGGACCCTGCCCCTGCCCTCTGCAGACAAAACCCGGGGTGATCCAGCCACTGGCTCAGGCCTGGCCAACGGGCTCCCCGGCCCCCAGGGGAGGTGATCCCCACTGTGTGAGTGCCCTGCCCCGTGGGGGGTGGGTATCTGAGGCACTCGAGGACAGCTGGTGGCTGGGTGTATGGTGGCTGCCGCCGGGACAGCTGTGCCCGCATAGCTCACACGCGCCCTGCCCGCCAGCCCCCCTCCCCTCCTTCTCCTGACGAGCTGCCCCCCAGCGTGAAGCAGGCCTACAGGACCTTCGCCGCCGTGCCCGGCCCACACCCGGCCCACGACTGCCCTGCCCAGGTATGCGGGGGGTGCCCACCCTGCTCTGCTATGTGCGCCTGCGGGTGCGCACCCAGAGGGGCCAGGTCTCAGGGCGCGCTCCCCCCAGCCCCCTGCACCTGGGCCAGCCGCCTCCCCAGAGCAGCTGACCTTCCGTGAGCGGCAGAAGTACTTTGAGCTGGAGGTGCGGGTGCCCCAGGCCGAGGGCCCCCCCAAGCGCGTGTCCCTGGTGGGTGCTGACGACCTGAGGAAGATGCAGGAGGAGGAAGGTGAGCTGCCAGGCAGGGGGTGGGCGGGCGGGGGCCGGGCTGGGCCTGGGCCTGACCTCCCTTCCCTCCCCCAGCCCGAAAGCTGCAGCAGAAGAGGGCACAGCTGCTGCAGGAGGCTGCGGACACGGGGCTCACCCTGGATGGGGAGGCCCCCGACGACGAGGAGCCGGAGGAGGAGCCGCCCTGGGCGGGCTCGGGCCCTGCCGCGGGGTGAGGGGTGCGGGGTGCGGCCGGGCTCCCCCCCGTCTCCCCAGGCACCCCCTCCTGCCAGCACCCCACCCACCTGGCCCTCCTGTCCTGTCCCCTGTCCCAGGCTTGGCCCCGTGTCCTCTGCGCCCCTGGGAGGCAGTGCCCCGGTGCGGACGGCCAAAGCTGAGCGGCGCCATCAGGAGCGGCTGCGCGTGCAGAGCCCCGAGCTGCCCGTGCCTGAGCGGGCGCTGTCCCCAGCCGAGCGCCGCGCCCTGGAGGCCGAGAAGCGTGCACTGTGGAGGGCGGCCAGGTGAGGTTCTGGTGCCCACCCATCCGGGCCCACCCCACGCACGCTGCCCCCTGCGCCCAGCAGGCCGCCCAGCCCCGCCCTCCCTCCGCCTGCCCCGCAGGATGAAGTCCCTGGAGCAGGATGCTCTCCGCGCACAGATGGTCCTCAGCAAGTCCCAGGAGGGCCGGAGCAAGCGTGGGCCCCTGGAGCGGCTGGCCGAAGCCCCCTCGCCTGCGCCCACTCCATCACCCACCCCTTTGGAAGGTCTGTGTGTCCTGGGGGAGGTGGGGGCCTCGTCCTGCGGTGCACCTCTCCCAACGCCCGCTCCTTGTCCCCCCAGATCTTGGCCTCCAGACCAGCACCTCCCCCGGCCGCCTGGTGAGGAGCCAGCACCTGTTGCCCTTCCCTGCTCCCCATCGTGGCGTGGGGCGGGCTCAGGCTGCACCCCGCGCCTCACCCCTCTTCTCGCTCTCTGCCTCTCTCCCCTCACGCTGTCCTCTCAAGGCCTTGTCTGGGAGGAAGTTTGACTACAGGGTGTTTGCAGCCCTGCCTTCTTCCCGACCTGTCTATGACATGCAGGTACTGGGCCCGCCCGGCCCTTGTGCAGGACAGCCCTGCACTGCTCCTGCCACCTCTCCGCCTGTGCCTGTCCTCCAGCCTGTCCCCTCCTCCGGCACCTTCCCTGTCTGTCACCTGGCCTGCTCCTTGGGGGCGAGGCCTCCCCGCCCCGCTCCATCCCTCAGCCAGGGCTTCGAGGACCCTGCCTGGCTCACGTGGGAGGTTCAGGCCAGTCCGGCACAGAGCCCTGACCAGCTCTTCTCCCTCTTGTAGTCTCCAGATTTTGCTGAGGAGCTGAGGTCCTTGGAACCATCTCCCAGCCCCGGTAAGTTGGCAGGCCAGTCCTGGGGGTGCTGCCGGGGTGCCGGCCCCCACCAGCTCACTCCCCTGCCTCTGCCCCCCAGGTCTGCAGGAGGAGGACGGAGAGGTGGCCAGGGTGCTTCTCGGCAGGCCCTCCCCAGGCGCTCTGGGCCCCGAGGAGGTGACACTGTGCAGCAGCCGCCGCCCCATGCGGCCAGGGCGCCGCGGCCTGGGCCCGGTGCCCTCCTAGAGCGCCGGAGCCTCCCCGACTCGGGGCGGGCCCTGCCAGCTCTGCCACCACCCTCGCCCCGAGTCTTTTAACCTGGGTGTTAGCGTTTTAAAGAGACCCCTCAGGAGTTCTGGCCGCTGACTAACTGCCCCTCCCCAGCTGGGACCTCTCGGCAAGACTGTAACTAGTGATGTTTGTACAACCAAAGACTCTATTTTGTGGTTTAAGGAGAATAAAATTGACTACGTTTTACCTCCCGTTTTTCTGTCTGTCCCCCACCACACACCATACACTCCTCCACTTCGGGGGGACTGGTTGGGCTGCCTATTGCCGGGCAGGGGCCATCCCCAAGTGCCCATAAACGAGTGTCCTCCAGGTGGGGCTCCCGCCTGGCCCGGACACGGACACATGCACAGCCCTCTCCCCGCGCAGATGCCCACACTTGCGATGCAGTGGGTCCCAGCACCAGAGGCCTCGCGGGGCAGCTGCACAAGCCAAGGAGCCAACCCCCGGCAGCCACTCGCCGGCACCCACCGGGCCTGGGTGAGGAGGAGAATGAGCAGAGCCCAGGCCCCGGGCGGGGCCATCCCTGGCCGTGGGGAGCTGGGAGCAGGGCTGCCAGGTGTGCCCACCTTCACCTCACCTGAGCGGCCCCAGCAGCGCCAGCCGAGTCCTCTCTGGCTGCAGGTAGGCCGGGTTCACCGTGTCCGTGTAGTTGGTGTCCTGATAGCGCAGGAAGCTGGCACCTAGCCTGACGGGTCGAAGACAAGAGGTCACCTGGGGGCAGCCACGAGGTCACCGGCCCCTCTCCCGACCAGTGCTGGCTGTCACTGCAGGTGTGGTCTCCCACGTCCATCACAGCATGTCGTGCAGCCGAGTGACCTGGCTTTTCAGCCCGGGCACTTCCTCCTCCCCTGTAGGGACATGAGTGTAGGGGGCTGACCAGAGGACCCAACGTGATGCCCCTCCCTGGGCCTGGCCTCCTCAGCCCCCAGCACGAGCCCTGCCCACCCTCCTGGGTCTGCTCCCGCAGTGCCCGCCGAGCTATGACCAGCGTCTCCTTGGCCTCGGCCACCTGCTGTGGCCTGTCCACTTGGGCCTCCTTGTCCTTGGTGGCCGGGTGGAGGGGCCCCACAGTGGGCTCAGCTGGGCTTTACATCCTCTGCATGAGGAGCCCCCGCCCGCGCCCAGGAGGCCTCTGCTAGAAGGTGACGCCCCTGATCCCCAGGCCTGAGAGGGAGAAGCGCCGCCTGCAGTGTGAGTTTGGTCTCGCGCACACGCCTCCACTCACGCTTGTCAAGCTCCACAATTCTCTGAGCGAGCTCACGGGCGGCCTGCGGCAGCCGGGGAGAAAGTCAGGCCAGGCAGGGCTGGCCTGGCGCCTCCAGACCAGGGCCGGCCTCGGGCAGTCAGGAGCCTGCGGGTGTGTCCTGGCTCCACGCCCCTTCCCCTCAGCTCCTCCCTGGTGGCTGCTGACCTCTTTGTGACAGCCAGGTCAGAGGACCTCCTGGCCAGCTGCCCCCAACACCAGCCACACCAGTTGGCCTCCCCATCCTAGAGCACGGCCTCCATGAGGCTTAGGTCCCATGGCTGCAGCACAGTGGGCACTGTATCCAGTGAGGCCACCTAGTGACAGACACGCTGGTCAGGGGGAGGGCCTGTGTTCTGTGTCCTGCCTAAGCCGGGAGGAGGTTCTGTCACTCTCCCATTTTAGAGAAAAGAGCACCAATTCCAGAAACGTGGCTCCCACAGCTCTGAGGGATGGGTCCAGAAGCACTGCCCGTCAGGGTGCAGCTCCACCCAAACCGAGACACCAGAGGGCCCTCCCAGTCTCCCTGCTAAGACCCAACAGGGCCTTCACGTCCCCTCCCTCTGTCCCCTCCTCGCTCCCCACCAGCCCGCCCCCGGGCTCCCAGCTTGCCTCGATGGCACACGCAGGGGCCGGCCTACAGCTCCTTTCCTTTGTTGTCGCCCTACAGACCTCGCCCTGGGGCCACCCTCGCCGCAGACCTCTCCTAGCAGCAGCCCCTCACCACTGGCCTCTTCTGAAGTCCAATCCCCTCTCTCTAGGAGTGATAAAGGTGCCCAGATCGGGGGTTCTCTGGGTGGAGAGATGGGGTTCTGGCAAATTTTTTTGTTTTTTTTATGAGGAAGATCGGCCCTGAACTAACTTCTGTTGACAATCCTCCTCTTTTTACTTGAGGAAGATTGTCGCTGAGCTAACATCTGTGCCAATCTTCCTCTATTTTGTATGTGGGATGCCACCACAGCATGGCTTGATGAGTGGTGCATAGGTCTGGGCCAGGGATCCAAACCCAAGAACCCCGGGCCACTGAAGTGGAGCACACAAACTTAATCGCTATGTCACCGGGCAGAAATATTTTATTTCTTGAATCAGGTCGTTACTCCATGAGTATTTCCTTTGTGGTCAATCAAGCCACACAACTTTGATTTGTACCGTGTTTGGTATGTGGTTTGTATTTTACAAGAGTCCAAAGATGTGTAAATTGAAGGAGTGGATTAATGATTGGATGGGCAGATAAATGAGAGAAGGGTGAATGGATGAGTTAGATAGATGTATGGAAGAGTGAGTTAATGAATTAGTAACTTAAAGAAACTGAATACTTAGTTAAAAGAACAGTAGTTATATGAGGCCAGCCTGGTGGTGCAGCAGTTAAGTTTGTGTGCTCCACTTCAGCAGCCCGGGGTTCACAGGTTCAGATCCCAGGCACGGACCTACACACCACTCATCAAGCCATGCTGTGGCAGGTGTCACACATATAAAATAGAGGAAGATGGGCACGGATGTTAGCTCAAGGCCAATCTTCCTCAGCAAAAAGAGGAGGATTGGCGTTGGATGTTAGCTCAGGGTTAATCTTCCTCAAAAAAAGTAAAAGCTATCATTTATGAAGCTCTGACTATGTGTTAGGAATTATGCTAAGGAATTTCATTCATTATCTCATCAATCTTCAAGAAATAGGGACTGCTATTAGCCCCACTTATGAACGTGTGGAAACTGAGATTCAGATAAGAGTATGAATTTGCCAAAGGTTAGTTTGTAAGGACAAGAACTGGAATAAATGGAAAACTGAGTGAATAGATGGAATGAAATAATGCGAGTGAATTTATGAATGAGCTAATGAATAGACAAATGACGAGCAGATGGCTAAATTAGTGAATAAATTAGCTAATAAAAGAATGAAGATTGGGTTAATTGAACAAATGGCTGAAATAATGAATTGATACATGAAACAATAGTTGAAGGGATTTGATGGATGGATAAATTAGATAAGTAAGGGGTTGGTTGAGCAGAGGAATAGGTGAATTGATGGATGAGTTCAATCATTCAGCACAATTTTTGTCTTTCATGTGACAACCAAAATGTATGACGTTGGAGAATACAGTTGTGGCATGAACTAAATATGGTCCCTGCTTTCTCAGAATTTTCTGTCAAGTAAACAGTATGAATATGTGTATGGTGGATGTTTGAATTAATAGTAGACAGATAAATGAATAAATGAGGGATGATTTAAGATGGTGGTAAGGGTACAATGGATACAGTAATGGGTGGATAGACCGGTAAGTTTGTGAATCGATGACTCATAACGCGAGAATGTATGAATTGATGAAAGAGTAAATCAGCTACTGGGGAAAAGATCGGATGAATGGACAAATTTATGGAAGCAGTAATAGATGGATAGATGAATGGCAAAGGGATGATAAATGGATGGATGGATGATGTTTGATACTTATTCAATTCTGTTACATCATTACTGATTTTCTTTCTACTCGCTTCATCAATTATTGAGAGAGGGGTGTTGAAATCTGCCACTATAATGGTGGATTGTTTACTTCTCCTTGTAGTTGTATCTGTTTCTGCTTCGTGTATTTTGAAGCTCTGTTAGTAGCTGCGTAAACATTTAGGACTCTTATGCTCTCTTGATGAACTGATCCTTTTGTCATTATGAAATGACTCTTTCTTCCCTAGTAATATTCTTTTTTCTGAAATCTGCTTTTTCTGATGTTACAGAGTCACTTCAGCTTTCTCATGTTTAGTATTATCCTGGCCTATTTGTGTCTGTCCTTTTAATTTTTGCCTATTCATGTCTTTATATTTAAAGTGTGTTTCTTACAAGCACAGTAGAGGTGGATTTTTTTAATCCAAAATGACGATGTCTGCCTTTTAACTGGAGTGTTTAGATCACCTACATTTAATGAGATTACCGATGCAGTCAAGTTCAAAACTGCCATGTTGCTGCTTGTTTTCTGCTGGCCTAATCAGTTCTTTATTTTCCTTTTCCTCTTTTTCTGCCTCCTTTTGGATTGCATAGTTTTTAAAATTCCATTTTGTCTCCTTTGTTGACTTGTTAGCTATAACTCGTGATATTTGAGTAGCTGTGAAGGGTTTACAGTATGCATTCGTAACTTATCACAATCTACCTTCAAGTGACGTTACCCAATGCACGTGGAGTGCAAGAACCTAAATGATCTATTTCTACTCCCCCTCCCAAACTTTATATTTGTATCACACAGTTGAGCCAAACAACTATAGTTTGTGCAATTTTCAGTACATGCATCTACATGTTATAAAACCCTATAACACTTCACCATTATTTTTGTTCCTTATTTCTTCAATTATCTTTTCAATAAATTTAAATAAGACACTATCTTATATATCTACCTATGCATCTACCCTTTCTGGTGCCCCTCCTTCCTTTGCGTGGGTCCGCACTTCCCTCCAGTACTCCTTTCCTTCTGCCGGTAGGACCTCCACTCACATTTCTTAGAGTGCGAGTCTGCCGGCGAGTCTTTCACCCTTTATATGTCTGGAAAGGTCTTTATTTAGCCTTCAGTTTTGAGAGATATTTGCACTGGGTATAGAATTCAAGGTTGACAAGGTTTTTTTCCCTTCAGGACTTTAAAGATGTTGCTCCACTGTCTCCTCACTTTTATTGTTTCCAAGAAGAAATCTGCCATCCCCTTATCTTTGTTCTTCTGTTTACAACGTGTCTTTTTTCCTCTGGCTGCTTTTAAGATTTTCTCTTTATTACTGGATTTAAGAAATTTTATCATGATGTGTGTCTTAGCATGATTTTCCTTCCTGTTTTCCTGTGCTTGGGGTTTGTTGAGCTTTTGGGCAATGTGGTTTATATTTTTCATCAAATCTGGAAATTATAAAGTCATCCTTTCTTCAAATATTTTTTTCTATTTCCCTTCTGTCTTCTCTCCTTTAGAGACTCCCATCCCTTGTATATTAGGCTCCTTCGAGTTGTCCTGCACCTCACTGATCCTCTTTTCATTTGGAGGGACTCCCTTTGTCTGTGTGATTTTATTTTGGGTAGTTTCTATTGTTGTCTTCAGATTCACTAATCTTTACCTCTGCAATGTCTATTCTGCACTAATCCCATCCAGAGTTGTGGGGTTTGGGGTTTATTTTATTTTATTTTATTTTATTTTTTTAATCTCAGACACTGTAGTTTTTATCTCTAGAATTTCAGTTTGGGTCTTTTTTATATCTTACATGACCCTACTCCATTTTTTGAGCATCTGGAATACAGTTTTCACAGCTGTTTAAACGTCTTTATAATCTAATTCTAACATCTGTGTCAGTTCTGGGTTTGTCTTGATGGGTTGACTTTTCTCTTTCATGGTCATACTTTTCTCCTTCTTTGCATGTCTCGTAATCTTCCATTGCATGCCTGGCATGGTGCATTTTGCCCATTCCTTGCTGTATGTTTTTGCATCTCTGTAAGTATTCTTGAATTTCATCCTGGGATACTGTTAAATTCCTGGGAAAATTTTATCCTTCGGGTCTTTCTTTAAGATGAGCTAGGCTGTCCCAGTGTAGCATTTATTCCAGGAATAATTCTTCCTCAACACTGAGGCGAGGCCGTTCTGAGCGCTCCAACCAATACTCTGTGAGCCACGGGGCTTCCTGCTGTGGCTGCTGTGAACAAGCTAGGTCCCTTCTTTCTCTCCTCGCAGAGAGAAGCTTCCCCACGTGCACGAGTCTTCACCGGGACACCCAAAGGGGCCCCTCAGCGCCTCCGGAGCTCTCCTCCTCCTGGCAGCTCTCTGCTCTCTGGCACTTACAGTCTCTAGCTGCCTTGGTGTCCCTGCGCCCTGAACTGTCTCCTTAACTCTGGGGGCTCTGCCTGGACCCCGCTCCCTGCACCACAGCCTGGAACTTCTCTCTGAGCGGTGTGCTAGGCAACCAAAGGGCCCGCTTACTTAATTCCAGTCTCTTGGGGATCACCGATTTACTCCCTGATGTCCAATGTCTGGAAAACCATTTTTCACACTTTCCAGGTCTCGTTGTTGTGGTTTCAGGCGGAAGGATCGGTCAAGCCCGAGTCACTCCATCCTGGAAGCAGAAAGCTCTGTTTGTGTTTTTTTCAACCTTCTTTCTCTCTGTGTTTCATTTTGGATAGTTTCTGCTGCTGTGTCTTCAAATTAACTAATTTTTTTTCAATGTCTCATCTGCCATTAATCCCATCCTGTGTATTTTTCATCTCAGACATTGTAGTTTGCATGTCTAGAAGTTTAGGAGTAAGGAGCTAGAGACAAGAGGTAGGGGTGTGTGTGTGTGGGATACAGTTATAAGTTTCAATGTCCTTACCTACTAATTCTGTCATCTGTGTCACTTCTGAGTCAGTTTGTTTGATTTTGCTCTTCACTGTGGGTTGTATTTTCCTGTTTCCTTGCATGCCTGGTAGTTTTACTAAACTTTTATTTGGGAACAATTATAGATTTACAAGAATTTGCAGAAACAGTAGAGTTCCCATATGCCCTTCACAAGTTTCCCCCAATGATGACGTCATTCACAACTGCGGCACAATCCACAAACCAGGCTGTCGACAGAGTCCCATCCACAGACCCCGCTCACTGGATTGCAGTGTCACATGTGATCCTGTGTGTGTTAACGGTTATGTGCGGTTTTATCCCGTGTGTAGATGTGTGTAACCACCACCACCATCAGGACGCAGAACTGCTCCGTCAGCACAAGGCTCCTCTGTGTCACCCCCTTCCCGTCACACCCATCTCTCTCCCTCCTTCTTCCCCTCACGAGCCCTGCATCCACTCTTCTGGCCTCCATCTCTGTAATTTTGTCATTTTGAAAATGTTATATGAACGGAATCACACAGTAGGCAGCCCTGTGTGACTGGCTTTTTTCCGCTCAGCGTCGTGCCCCTGAGGTCCGTCCGAACCGTCGCTGTGCACTAGTTCATTCCTCTTCACTGCCCGGGGTGCTCCACGGCGCGGACGGACAGACCACTGGCGGCGTAGCCTTTCACCCGCCGGAGAACACGCAGGTTGTTTCAGCTTCGGCTGTTCCGTATAAAGCTGCTCTGGACACGTGTGCGCGCATTGTCATGTGGGCACGGCTTTCATTTTACTGGAATAAATGCCCAGCAGTGTGATTGCCGAGTCACGCGGAAAATGTATGTTTAGTTTCTTACGAAGCCGCCACTGTTTTCCCTTGTCGGTGCCCCTGTGCGTTCCCACCAGCAGTGGGGGATCCAGTTCCTCTGCGCCCTCGCCAGCATTTGGTGTGGTCGCTGTCTTTAATTCCAGCTCTCCTACCAGGTGTGTGACGGTCACCGTCTCCTGTGTTCAGTGGCTGTCATGAGGTCTCATCGGTGAGATTCCTCTTGTCTCCTTTGCTCATTTCATACCTGGATGGTATGATTTTTTCACCGTGGGGTTTCAAGACTTGTCTGTATGTTCTGGATACGGGTCCTTGGTCAGATACGTGATTTGCAAATATTTTCTCCCTCTGGGACTTGTCTTTTCATCCTCTTAACAGAGTCTTTTGCAGAACAAAAGTTCTACTTTTGATGAAGTCAAATTTGTTGATTTTTTTTTAAATGAATCATGCTTTTTCTCTAAGGAGCCTTCACCAAGCCACGGGTCCCAAAGATTTTCTCCTGCATTCTCCTAAAAGTTTTTTAGTTTTACATTTTACATTTAAATCCCCATAATCCATTTCGAGTCAGGTTTTTATGAGGTGTGAGGTTTAGGTCACAGTTCACTTCTTTGCCTGTGGACGTGCAATTTCTCCAGCACCGTTTGTTGAAAAGACCGTCCTTCCGGCTTCCCGTGGCCTCCACAGGCCTCCGACCCTCCCCAACCCCTCCCCTCCCCGACCCTGAGTTAGCTGCTCGGGGCCTGTCCCCTCGGCCCACCGGGTGCCCTCACCCCTCGGACACCAGCTGTGTTGGCACGTCTTTCTCAGCACCCCTCAGACGGCCACCTGCACGCTCTGGACCTCTCGTGGCCCCCCTGTCCCCAACGCCTGGGGCCGCCCCCACGCCCAGTCCTGGGCCTGGCAGGGGTGTGGAGCATGACCAGCTGACAGGTGGGCTCCTCCCCATGCTCCCCCTCCTCATGTGGCCCCTTCTCAGGAGCAGCCAGGCCCTTTGTCCTCCTGGCCTCACATTTCGCTTGTCTGTTTGAGGAGAAAGCAGGAATAATTTGAAGCCAAAGGCTCGGCTGCTTGTTTCAACAGCCCCCTCCTGTCTCTGAACGAGAGGAAGCTGAGGGTCTGGAGGAGAAGAGCAGAGGGAATGTTTTCAAAGACAAAGGACCCCAGAACAGCAGCCTGAGGAAGCACCCTGGGGGTGAGGGTGGGGCCCTGGGCGCGGGCTCCCTAGCTGGGCAAAGGCCCTGGCACCCGCAGGTGTGGAAGCAGCGGGCCCACCAGCAGACCCTGGGCCGATCCCACATTTTCCAGGCTATACTTCCGCTTTACAGATTGGGGCGGGATCTGGGGTGGGGGTGGGAGGATGTGAGACTGAGCTGGGAGAGGGTCTGGGGTTCAAATCGGATGCACTTAAAGAAATGAAGGCGGTGGCATTTGGTGCCCAGGCTGCACAGTGGCTCCCACGGGCCCTGAGTCAGCCTCATCTGACCCAGTCCCCTGGGCCCGGGAGAAGTCCAGGCACCCCGGTCCCCCCCTGGCCCAGGGTGCTGGACAAAGGCACAGCTGACGTGTTCCCAGCCACCAGGGAGAAGCTGCGCGGGCCTGGCTGAGGGCGCTGGGAGCTGCCGGGCGGGGGTCAGCACCTTTGCACCTTAGGGCTCAGTTTTCTTGGAGAAGCAGGAAGTGCTGAGACTGTGGGACGAGGTGGGTGGGCCCAGCGCTGCCTCACCACCCAGGAGGTCTCCCACCAATCCCTGAGGTAGCCAGCCTCAGTTTCCCCACCTCCATGGTAACACTACTTCCCACGGTGGACATCAGGGTCCAAGGAGATGAGGAGAGCCAAAGGAGGCACTCAGAAACCAGAGGTAGCTGTGGTCTAGATTTCGGGGTGACCCTGAAGGTTCAAAGCACGGACTTCTGGGAGGAAAAGGGCGCTGCAAAAGTTAGGGACCAGCCCGACGCAGGGTCACCAGGCTCCTGACCACTTTTAGGGAGGACAAACCAGTGCCCTGCGTGCCCGGACCTGTGCTCCCACACCTGCTGCAGCCGCCCGGCCGGCGCACACCCGGGGCTCAGCCCCAGCTCCAGAAGCCTCTCCACAGCCTCCAGGGGCCCTGGGACAGCGGCGGCTGATGAAGGAGCCCTGCGGGAGGGGTGCTGGCCCCAGTCCTCTCCGGGGCCCACCTTGCTGTTGCCACCTCCGACACCGCGGCTCCCTCGGCGTTCGCGCCCTCGAGGGTCAGCGGCTCATCCACAGAGCATCTGGAGCTCGGCAGAAAGTTCCCGACCCTCTGCAGACACGCGGGGACCCTGCAAATGCCCTGTGAGCCCCCAGCGTGGGAGACGCGCTGGAGAAGTTGGTAGGAAACCCAAGGAAGGGTGAGAAGGATGGGGACCCCCCACAGGACCCCTCCTGCATTCAGGCGCCTGCAGCCACGGGCTGAGCCGATGGGGCTGAAGCAGGGTCTCAACCCGTAAGCCCACTGGGACTCAGGACCCTGCAAGCTTTGCTCCAGCCCCCACTCAGCCTCCCAGCCGAGTAGCTCCAGCTTCCGGGGAGCTGAGCAGGGAGGGCTGCTGGGCACTGGGAGAGGCGTCCACACCTGGCCCTGCTGCTCTCCGCCCAGGTGATGTCCTGCAACCAGTTAACCTCTCTGCGCCTCAGTGTCCCTTTCTCTAAAATGGGGTAATGATGGCGGCTGCCCCCCACAGGGCTTCCCGACAGTCTAACGATAGAACACGTGAATTCTCAGAAGTTAGCAAACGCTCAGCCTGTGCTTCTGCAATTGAGACGGTGCCTGGGAGCAGAGGAGGGCCCCTCGCGGTACCAGGCTGACGTGAAGGGAAAGGATGCAAGCCGACTGTAGGGGTGACACAGCTGTTAGAAGTCACTGGAAGAGAGCAAGCCACAAAGCCAGCTCTCCAGAAGAACCGCAGTAGAAAGCGGAAGAACACAGCAAAACAGAAACTGGATCAAACCAAGGGTCAAAGATAAGATGGGAAAACAGCAAAGGGGGTAAGGAACAGAGTCGCTACAGATGAGGAGAGGAACGGAAAACAGTTAAGTCCCACACATCAAGAAGTGAAGCAGGAGCAGCCAGGAAGACGGTCAACACGGGGCAGGTGGGGCTCGAGGCCGCAAGGAAAGGCCCTTGGCTCACAGTGAATATGGCTGAAATGCATGGAAACCGATTAGAAGGAGGAGACGCAGAGAGTGGCGAAGACCATCAAACACAAGAAGAATTAGTGTCTCTAGAACGCAGAGACTAACCATGGGGAAAATATTTAAAGATAAAATACAGAAAAATTTCCTGAAATGAATCTTAAGACAAAAGGGAAAAAAAATACACCAGGAAACAAAACAACTGGCATCAGACACATCCTGATTAGGTTGTTAAAGCTAAAAAACAAGTTATTCAAGCACCCAAGTAGAAAAAGAAATCAAATTGGGCTCTCCTAAGACTTTTAAGGCAACATTGAATGTTAGAAGTCGTGAATCAGTGTCCACAAAATTCGGGGGGGAAAGCAGCTCAAGAAGACTCCAGGCGTGGTTCTGCTCCCTGCAGAGCAGAGCAGGGGCCTCAGACCAGCCTTCCCCATGACAGCAATAGAAAAGACAGACAGAGTGAACACTGTAAACATGTGTCTGAAGGCGCTGCAAAGGCTAATGGGAGTGAAGAATTGTGGGGCCAAGAAGAGAGCACAGGAGAGGGGGCCCAGCCCATGCAGATGGGTTTTGCCTGGCAGCAGCCACCGGTGCTGAAAGCCACAGCCTCCGTGGGAGGGGAGGCCAACAAACTGATCAGGGTTCTCGGCAGATCACAGAGTCAATGGGACACAGTCTCTAATCCAGGGTGCTTGGTAAGGCTTTGGGTTTAGAGTTGTCAGATTTAACTAATAAAAATACAGAATTCAATTTTGGGGACATACACTAAAAAATGATTCATTGTTTTTCTGGAATTCAAATTTAAATGAGTGTCTTGTATCTTATCTGGCAACCCTATTGGGCAGGAATCCTGAAAACTCCATCCTTTGGGAAATAAAGCAACTGTTGTGGGAATGTTGAAGCCTCAGCTTCAAATCACTGAACCCCTGCCTGGATGAAGGTAATCAGGAGCTGCTCCTAGCCTTGCTGCCTGCCAGAAATAAATCTTCTCCAGAGGAAGATGGCATTGTCCAGAACTTTAGCACACCTCCAAGATTTTTAATACGCAATGTTAAAGGCATCCAAAAAATAATCAGGCTAATGAGGAAACAAGATATGACTAAAGGGCAAGAAAAATGGTGAACAATAGGAGCAGACCCAGATAGAGCCAATAATGGAGTTCTTGGACACTGACTTTAAAATAAATATGAGGGCCGGTGCAGTGGTTCAGTTCACGTGCTCTGCTTCAGTGGCCAGGGGTTCACAGGTTCAGATCCTGGGCACGGACCCACATACCACTCATCAAGCCATGCTGTGGCAGGCGTCCCACATACGAAATGGAGGAAGATGGGCACAGATGTTAGCTCAGGGCCAGTCTTCATTACCAATAAATAAATAAATAAGAATGATATGTTCAAGGAACACTAGCCCCAGTGGTGTTAGTGGTTTGGATGTGGTGCTCTTACTGTCTAAGCCTGGGTTTATTTCCTGGTCAGGGAACCACATTACCCATCTGTTGGTTGTCACAGTGTGGTGGCTGCATGCTTCCATGAGGCTGAAAGTTATGCTACCACTATTTCAAATACCAGCAGGGTCACCCATGGTGGACAGGTGGACAAGTCAGGGGAGCTTCCAGACTAAGACAGACTAGGAAGAAGGACCTGGCTGCCCACTTCCAAAAAAATTGGCCACGAAAACCCTGAGTAGCAGCAGACCATTGTCTGATACTGTGTGGGAATGTGAGAAGATGGGGCACAAAAGACCAGAGAGGCTTCTGCTCTGCTGCACACAGGGTCACTAGGACTTGGAATCAACTTGATGACACTAACAACAAACAAAAAAATGTTCAAGGAATTAAAAGACAAGATTGAAAATTATGGGCAGCAAACTGGAAACAGTAATAAAGAACCAAATGGAAATTCTAGAATATAAAAATAGAAAAACTGAAATTGAGAGCTCAATGGATAAGTTTAACAATATAATAGACATAGCTGAAAATAGAATTAGTAACCAGGAATATAATACAAATGAAAATATCCAGATTAAAGATGGAGAGACAAAAAGAAAGGTCTGATGCAGATGTAACTGGAGTTGCAAACATAAGGAAAGAGAGGTAGTAGAAACACTTAAAGAGAATTTTTCAAAACTAACAAAAGACATCAAGTCACAGCTTTGATATGCGTTATGAATCCCAAGTAGGATAAATACAAAAACAAGCAGGTGCACACACACCAAAGCACACCACAGTAAAACTGCTAAAACTAAAAACAATGAGAAAAATCTTTGAATTCGTTAAAGGAAAAAAGATATATTATCTTCAGAGGGATACAAAAATAATTAAGGCAAAATAAACACACCTTTGGACAAACAAAACCTAAGAGTGTGAACTTAAAAAGCAAATTCGCCTGTTATTTTGTCCTTGAAATGAATTTTTTTGAGAATAGCCAGAAGAATTGCAATTTGGCATGTGCATGAGATGATGAACCACAAGCAAATCCAGAAAACAAAGGAGGGAAGCTGTTTTTTTTTTTTTTTTAATTGCAGTAACATTGGTTTATAACACTATATAAGTTTCAGGTGTACATCATTATATTTTGATTTCTGTGTAGATTACATTATGGTCACCACCCAATGACCAATTACAATCCATCACCACACACATGTGCCTAATCACCCCTTTCATCCTCCTCCTTCCCCTGTGGTAACCACCAATCCAATCTCCGTGGGGAGCTGCTTTTATAGAGAAGAAGGGGGAGCGGGAGGGGCTGTTCTAAAGCAAAGTCCATTGGGGGAGAGTAACAGTTCAGGGCGAGAATGGCTTCTTATTGGCTGAGCTGTGGCATTTCTCATTGGCTGAGCTGTGGCATTTCTCATTGGCTGAGCTGTGGCGTTTCTCATTGGCTGAGCTGAAGCATTTCTCATTGGCTGAGCTGTAGTGTTTCTCATTGGCTGAGCTGTGGCATTTCCCATTGGCTGAGCTGCTGCTGGCTGGAGAGAGAAATCGTCCTTCAGTAGTAAAGTAGTTGCACTTCCTGTGGGAGATGCAAGTGCCCTTCTCTTCCTGGTTGATGTGATTGACATGTGTGATGGGGTGAGAGCTCCCCATAGGCCTCCCCGACTCCAGTTTACTTGAGGTTTCTCATTCATTTCACAAGAGGATTCAGTAGCAGGAGACCCACAGTGAAGAGAGTAACAAAA